GAGATGAGCCGAGATACGGCCGAGATACGGCCGAGGTATGGCCGAGATACACCATCGCGGAGGAGCAGCCGAGATGTAGCCTAGACGCCTCCCCCCCCCCCCCCCTTTCCTCCCTCCCTTCCTGCGCCTGCCGCCGAGCCGTGTCGAGGGCGGCCGGGCTGCCTTCTGAGCCCTTGCGGCTGGCTGCTCACAGGCGCATCGGCTTCGACTCGCCCCTCTCGGCGCTCCACGCCGCAAACACCATGAACGGCGCGGCGGTGGGTGACTCGACCTTGCAGGTGGTCGCACACTTCCCCCCTACCCCCACGGTACCCGAACCCACCCTCCCCTACCCCTACGGTACCCGAACCCACCCTCCCCTACCCCCACGGTACCCGAACCCACCCTCCCCTCCTTGCAGGTGGTCGGACTGCCGTACCTCCCGGCCTCCGCTTGAGGCTGCGAGCCCCGCGCGCGGCCAGCTGCCGGCCGCCCCCCCGCGCGCCTCGTGTTTGCTCCCCCCTTCTCGCGCCCGGGGGTCGGTCCGGCGCTGTCGCCGCCGCGGGACATCGCGCCTTCCGCCGGCTGCCATCTTGTGATGTGCGCGATGACTACTCGAGCTGCGCCGAGGGCGCTCGCCGGCCGCGCGCCCCGCTTGGGTGCGCGCGCGTCCGCCGCGCGATCGCCGCTCTCCCGCGGACTCTCTGGCTCCATGCCGTGTTGCGCTCCACCAGCTCACCACAAACTCTCTTTCTGGGACTCCTGTGTCGCGCTAGCCGTGGGGTTACTCCCCCCGGCGGCGCCCCATGTCCACTGGATCACCTATTTATGTGACCGCAACCAGTCCTGTGTCTTCCGTGCATTCCGTTTTGTCCCGTGTCGTTCTCTGATCGTCCGTCGCGGTGTGCTGATGTGCATGCTTTGTACGTGGGTTCCTCCGTCGGCATGTGAGTAGAGGAGCGCACTGTTGTGCGCCGACAGCAGTCGTGTGTGCGTGTTTCCCCCCCTCCCCCGTTCTAAGTACTTTTTCGTTGGTTATTAAGGTATACACCGCGGCGGAGCTCCGCAGGTCCGGGTCGGGTCCCGAGCGACTCGCGTGTGCGCCTGCCGCCTCTGCGCTCTGGGGGGGCGCGGGGGCCCCCGGAGGCACCGTGCGCCGCGCAGCAGTGCGCGGAGAAACGCGGGGGCTCCGGCGCTCAGAGCACCGACTTCCTCAGAGTCGCTCAGAGCACCGACTTCCCGAATGATCACGGTTGATCGTCAGCGAGGGCAGATTTAGAGAGATCTCGAGGACAGGCCTGGGGAGTACACACAGATAGATACCCTCCAACCATCAGAAAACTCCGACCTGATCGGTCGTACTGACCGCGGACAGATCACTCCAGACAGCAGACAGGCCGACGTCTGCACGCGGCCGGCCGGGCGAGAGGCTTGACACGATCCGACCCTGCGACCCTGATGCTGCTGCTCTAGCTATCAGACATGCACTGCTGACTGCTGCCACAATGTGCGACCGGTGCTGGCCCACTTGGCGGCCTTCCCGGTCAGTGGTGAGGCGCAGTTCAGAGCTGTCGATGGCGCGATGCCGCACTGGTCCCACGTTGGTGACACGAGACCGCCAAGTTTGCCGGTCCAAGAGAGAGGCACCGGCGCTGTCCTGAGAAGGTGCGTGGTCCCTCTTGACTGCCCATGCGCGCGAGGCTGTGTAGGCATAGCCTCGAGAGTGCCAGCAGCCAATCCGAGGCAGTTTGTGACGCGCATTGCGTCAGAAGCGTGCACGCAGCTGGAAGCGTGGAAGGACAGAGACCTTCCTACTGGCCGTACGATCAGGTCGTCACTGAATGCTTGATACTAAGGCCGCGAGCTATGCAGGTGATCATTTGTGCAGCATGGCACGGTCAGCAGCGCCGACAGGCTGTCGCAAGGCGTGATAGCCCGGGGCCGCAAGTACGCCGCGCCCGGTCCCTTGCCCTCTCTCGCCCTTGCTTTTCCTCTCCCCCTCCATGCCGCCCCCCCCGTACCCCCCCCCCCCCCCTCCTCCTCTCCCCCCCCTCTCCCTGCCCCCCACCTCCCTCTCCCTCCTCGCAGTAGGGCCCATGCCCCATGACCATGTGTTCCGGTAGACTTATTCAGTGTTGCCGAAAGCGACAAAAGCGCCCTTCCGACCGTGCTCCCCGCTGCTGCTGAGGGAACAGACGACCTTGACGTCTCCGCAATAGTGCGTGCCGTCCTTGCCAATGTTGTCCGCGTCCACGTCGGGTTGTTTGTTGTAACTCTGACCGAGGTGGGCTTTCGGCTCCATTCGCACAGCGGTGCCCCACGCGGCGCGTAGCTAGGGCGAGGATGAGGCGTCGAAGCGTGTACTTGTGTCTGGTGTTGTGGCCCTGCTGCGGTACGTTGACAGCAGCGTCGCCATACTCGTCGTGGGTATTCCCATTCCGAGTCTTCTTGCCCGCCGCCGCGGCCTGGCAGGCCACGTCGAGGGGGAGACCCAGGCGGCGCTGCACCGAAAGACGCATCAGAGAAAGAATTTAAACAAAACACGCGTCGCTCTCACAGCAGACAGGCTCGAGAAAGAAAACCCCCGCGGTTCTTTCTTTACCGACGTCCGCTTGCCGCATCTCGAAACGCTTTATTATGTTCGCGATATTGAAGGTAACAACAAGACTCTCTCTTGTGTCTTGAAGGTGGTCAGCACCCCGCTGAAAAACGTAAAAAGAAATCAGCGCCAATCGACCGTGCGACTCAAAGAAGACAACCCCAGACTAATTCATGCACGTCCCCACTCTCAGAATTCACACTCACATCTTGAGCTCGAACCCTACCCGCCCGCTCACCGCATCCCGAATCACTCCCTTCCCCTCGTCGCCCAAATCGTTGGCGCCGAAGATCGAGGGTGGTCAGCACCTCGCTGCGCTCGAGCCCGCCTGTGATCGTTGCAGCGCCTCGGCCGCCGATTTCGGCTGCCGCATCCCGCCACTTCTCCTCCGTGTCCTTTCCATGGCGTTTGCCACCAGCGGTGCTGAAAACCCTAAACCTCCACCACAACAGCATCGGCAACGAGGGCGCCAAGGCGCTGGCCTCCGGTCTGCGCGTGAACTCGCCAGCTGCGGGATTGGCGACGAGGGTGCCAAGGCGATCGGCAGTGCTCTCGCAGTCAATGGGGTGCTGACGTCCTTGAGCGTGGACACTTGTAATGACCCAGAGAGCGCGGCCGCACACACTGCTCGGTACCACTCCAGAATTCACACTCAAATCTCGAGCTCGAACCCTACCCGCCCGCTCACCGCACCCTGAATCGCTTTATTCCCCTCATCGCTCAAATTGTTGTCGCGGAGGTCGATGCTCGTCAGCACCCCGTTGCCGCGCAGCGCTTCCGCGATCGCAGCGGCGCCCTGCTCGCGGATCTGGTTGAGGGCGAGGTTGAGGGTGGTCAGCACCCCATTGACCGCGAGAGCGCCACCGATCGCCTTCGCGCCCTCCTCGCCAATCTGGTTGCAGCCGATCTTGAGGGTGGTCAGCACCCCGTTGACGCGAAGAGCGGAGGCCAGCGCAGCGGCGCCCTCGTCGCCGATGTTGTTGTTCACGAGCACGAGGTTGGTCAGCACCCCGTTGACCGCGAGGGCGCCGCCGAGCGACTTGGCGCCCTCGGGGCCAATCCTGTTGTTGCGGAGATTGAGCTCGTTCAGCGCCCCGTTGACTTCGAGCGCCTTGCCGAGGGCGGCGGCGCCCTCGTCACGGATGCCGTTGAAGGAGAGGTTGAGGTCGGTCAACACCGCGTTGACGCGAAGAGCGGATGCTAGCGCCTTGGCACCCTCGTCGCCGATGCCGTTGTTCCAGAGGTTGAGGTCTTTTAGCACCCCGTTGCCGCGCAGCGCCTCGGCGATCGCGGCTGCGCCCTCGTCCTCGATGGAGTTGTGCTGGAGGTTTAGGCTGGTCAAGACCCCATTGACCGAGAGACCCGCCGCGACGACGGCAGCCGATCCGGATCCGAGGCTCTTGCCCGACAAGTCGAGCGACGTCACCGCCTCGCGAGCGTTGAGCTGCAGCGGGTTGAGCGGCATCGCCCCCCCCTCGCCCACGCTCAGCGCAACGAGCGTGCGCGTCGTCCGCACCACGCCGAGCACCGCCTCCCGCACGCGGCCGCACGCCTTGCCCCAGTCAAGCTTCAGCGACGTCAGCGCCGCCGGCTCGGACTCCATCCACGCGACCACTGTTCCCACCATCACGCCACCGTCGCCAAGGTCGTACCCCGTCAAATCGACACCACTGGCCTGCAGCGGCAATACCGTATCCATCGCCGCGGCAAGCCCGCCGCCGCCGCCGTGCTGCATCGTCGCCGCGAGCACCGCCGCGCGCTTCACCTTGAGCGCGTCGCCCACCGCCGCTTGGAAGCGCGGGTCAGAGTTGTACGCCTCAGCCTCGTCACCGAGCGGCGCCTCGAGCCGCTTGTCCGCCGCGCCTCCGGCGTCCGCGCATCGCTCGAGGCCGAGGTGGGCGCGCACTAGTTGCGCCGCCTCCTCCGCTGCCTCCCCCGCCACCCCGCGGCGCACCTCGGCCGCCATCTGCGCGCCCATGTCGGTGAGCAGCTTCTTGCGCTTGCCCGCCACCTGCTCGAGCGTGAGCGAGGCCATGTTGATGGAGATGCTGCTCTGGACGACGAGCGTGCTGCCCTCCACTCCCGTCGAACGCACCTGCAGGTGTCGGGAAGGGGGGGGGGGCGATGAGAGCATGTCGAGGACTGAGCGGGGGAGGGGCGAGGTTGACGCACCTGCAGGCCCATGAGCGGCGGCAGCAGCGTCTCCTTTTCGTGCGGGTACTGCGAGAGCCACGTGATGTCGGCGCCGCGGTCGGTCATGCCCATCACGAGCTCGAGCACTGTCGACGCCTTGCCCGCCGCGTAGTGCACCGCCTGCGCGCGGTCGGTGGTGGTCGACGAGAAGCCGTACTCGACGCCGCCGCGGAAGCCGAGCGCGTCCGGCTTGAAGAAGGCTTCCGGGAGCGTGGCGCCCATCCAGCCGCGGTAGAGCGGCGTGATCTTGGTCAGCGGCGACAGCTTGACGATGATCGAGTTGATCGCGTGGATGGTGGTCGAGTACTGGTTGTGCCACGTCCAGCGCACCGCGCCCGAGGGCTCGCCTGTGCCCGCCGCCGTCGCAGCCCACTCGCCGAGGTGAAGCGTGCCGCACTTCTTCTGCAGAAAGGGCACCTCCTCCATCGAGGCGTACTCCAGCAGCACAGCGCCGTCGGCACCGCGCGCTGAGGAGAAGCGGAGGACGCCGTTGTACTTCTCGTACATCGGCCCCGTGTACAGCCGGCCGGCAACGAGCTCCTCCTTGATGAGCGGCGCCTGCCCCGCCTCAACGAGCCTCGGGTTCACCGCGTCCGCCATCTTCTTCTCGAAGACAGAGAGCGGCTCCGGCTTGCGGCACCACTCGCGGTGAGCCGTGCGGAAGTCGCCGCCGCGCTCTGCGTAGGGGCTGTCCTGGTCCTCGACCACGGGCGCGACGACGAACTCCCACTCGAGCTTGGAGGTTGCGCCCTCGATGCCGTTGGAGGTGTCGAACGGCACTTCCGCATCTTTCTCTGCGCAGTGCTCCGTCTGCATGGCCTTGAAGAGCGAGCCCTCCACCATCAGCGGCGGCCCGATGAGCTTCTCGAGGCCTGCTCAGGGGACGGTGGGGCTGTCGGTGTGAGAGAGGGCGGGCAGGATAGGCAAGCTACTGTCGTGCAGCACGCCTCCGTAGAACTGCTCGACGCCGCCAAAGCCCATCTCACCCTTGAACGCGTCGCCCTCCGCGGCGAACTTGGCGTTCAGCGCCGCCCCGGTCGCGGCGCTCTGGCCATGCAGTTTCTCAATGGCGGACCAGAGGGTCTCGGCGATCGCCTCACTCAGCTTTACCGCCTCGAGCTTCTCCTTGAGGTCGGCGAGCGAGAGGCTGAGCACGTACTTGAACGGGTCTGTGGTTCCGGGCGGCTCTTTTAGCGCCTCGGCCACCACCTTGGCGAGGGCGAGGGAGTCCACCCAGCCGGCGACGCCCCACTCCTCGGCGTGCTCCGCCTCGACCTGAGAGGAGTGGAGAGAGGGAGGGGGTAAGGCGGAGGTGGAGAGGGTGGCGTGGCGGCAAGAAAAGAGGGAGGCAGACGCAGACACGGCGGCGGAGGAGAGGGAGGCGGCGGTGGAGAGAGGGATATGCATAGGGCGGCGGCGGCGGAGGAGAGGGAGGCGGCGGCGGACGCGGCGGCGGTGTGTGGGTGGGGGCGGTGGCGCGGTGGCGCGAAGGCGGCGGTGCGGGGAATGCGTCGGCCTTGCCGTCGCGCGAAGTGGTGGCACTCGGCGTGCTGACGTTGCTGAGCTGGTCCTTGAGCGACGGCTTCTCGTCCTGCTTAAGCGACTGGTTTTTCTCCTTGAGCGACTGGTTATTGAGCGACTGGATCTCCTCCTTGAGCAGCTTGTTCTCGTCCCTGAGCTTGCGCAGCTCCGTCTCGTTGTTCTTGGAGGCGGTGCAGCCCACTTGAGCATCTCCTGCACCGCCGGGGAGAGTGCGACTGTGAGTAGGCATCGGGAAGCGAACGGTGGCCGGGTCGCGCGCGAGGGATGGTGGTGGAATGGGAGGTGCGGCTGAGGCAGGCGGGAGCGGTGCGTGGGTGACAGAGCGCGTGGGACGGCAGCGGTGCCAGAGGCGGTGGTGGCGGGTGGCAGAGACAGCGGCGCTTGAAAGGACCTGCAAAGTCGTCCTGAGGACCGTCCTCCTGCTCTGCTTGCGCGGCGGAGATAGCGGCCGCTCTCTCCTCGAGGCTGGTCCCACGCAAGAGCTCGAGCGCGACGGCAGCGCACGGGTCCTTTGGCTGCTCGGCCAGCGCCTTGCCGACCGCCGTGCGAAGGCGTTGCTCGAGCGGGCCGCGCCAGCAGGACAGGTACTCCTCCGCGGAGGTGGCGGTAGCGGCGCTGTTCGGCATCATGTACTACTCCTTGGGCGTCGGCCTCAACAGAGGTGGCGTCAGCGATCTGCTCAACAGCGCTCAACAGCGGCTCTGCTCAACAGCGGCTTCTGCTCAACCGCGGCTCCTGCTCAACCGCGGCTCGGATGAGGCAGTCACGCTCGAGAAATTCTTCAAAAAAAGTCCGTCCTGCGTCCCCTCTTAAAAGCTAGCGCAGGGAGGACTGATTCCGAATATCTTTGTGAGCCGTCGGTGTGCGTGCGCGCTCTCGCAGGCGGGTCGCTGTCGCCGCTCGCTACCTTGGCGGAGAGCACGGGATTGGCGCGCACTGGCACTAACGAGAAAAAAAACAATTGCTAAAAATCTCTCTCTCTAACGAGGGCGGGGAACACAACTGGACGCGCACGAAAAAAGAAAAGGACAGCGAATCAAACCCATAAAGATCCCCCAAGGCCTTTGTGGCGCGTCTCAAGCGCGAACCGACAGGGGCGCCACGGCAGTAGAGAGCACTCCACCGCCATACCGTTTTTATGGCGGGCTGCAGAGAGAGAGATGCTTCTTCTTTCTGCTGCAGTGTCGTGCGAGGGAGTTTGTAGTGGGGAGGGACACAGACACAGACACAGACGGCTACACACACACAACACAAACAAAAGACGTTCGGCGGCGGCTTCTCGCCCACCGCCGTTCTCAAGCTGCGCCGCCTCGCGCGCAAAGTCGCGCGCGGCAGCGTTGACCGCACGGCCTACTCGCCCAAGTACTCGCTTTCTTTTATGTCCCACCATGCAGAGCGCATCTCTCTCTCTCTGTTGTGCGAGGCGTGAACCGCGCCATTCGCTCTCACCTGGCAACCCTGTCTGCACGTCTCGCGCGCGCGTGAACAGGGCCAGGATCCCCAAAACCGTCGTAAACCCCCCAAAATTGAAGTCGACCGCCCAAAGCTGTCCCCCCCCGCAAACTTTAACCCTCCATAAACATCATTTTGCAGGGGCTCCAGGCTGCCCCAAATGACGTGTGAGTGTTAGATTTGTTTGGTATTGCTAAAAATCTCTCTCTCACACACAGGGAATGAGGAGACCAGCGGGGGAGACTCCCCGCCTATGCAAGCCCCAGAGAGGGGCCGCCATCGCCGAAGCTGTGCCAAAAAAATTCAAATTCTTTTTCATGTCCACCATGAGTGCCTCGCTCATTGCCTCGCCAAGCGCTGCCTCGGTGCCTGGTGGTGGTGGCGCTGGCGCGGCGTTGGTGCCCGGTGCTGTGCACAGCGCTCTGCTCGCGCCCAGTGAATTGCCGAGCGCTGCGCCGGTGCCGAGAGCCCGCGTCATCATCCCGGCTGACGTTCGCATTCCCGTTCCCGCCGAGGCCGTTGCCGGCGGCCGCGTGTCCTTCCACTATGAGCAGCTCATCTACACCGCCGCGCTGCCGAGACTCGCCGCCAGTGGCTCCTGCCTGCTCCGCCTGACAGTTGCGCACTGGCGAGAGGCCAGCGCAGCAGCGGCCAGGCGCCGGCGCGAGGAGGCCGCCCGGCAGCGTGCGCAGGCGCAGGCGCAGCGCAAGGAGGCGCGCGTGCAGAGGGAGGTCCGCGCCGCGGTGGAGTCGCTCGTTTCGGCGGTCGAGGGCGATGAGAGGGAGGTGCGTGGCGTCGTGCAGGGCCTGGTGCTCTCTCTCGAGGTGCAGCCACCAGTGCTCATTGACAGTCAATAGCTACTCGTGAGTTGATCGCCGCTGTGGTGCTCTCGCTCAAGGCGGAGGAGCGGCGCCGGCGCGCTGCAGAGAGGCAGGAGGCGCAGCGGGCGCGCGAGGTTGGCGTGGTGGTGAGGAGGCTGGTGAGGACATGTCCGAGACACGTCCGTGACATGTCCGAGACATGTCTACAGGTTGGCGTGGTCGTGAGGAAGCTGGTGAGGGAGGTCGAGGCGGGCGGCGACGCGGTCGAGCGAGAGGTTGCGAGGACGCTCGATCGGGTGGTCGGGCGGGTGCTCCGGCTCTGCGACCCGCGCTACGCCGGCCTCGACTCTCCCGAGTACGCCCACGCGCAGCTGGTGGCGCTGTATAAAAAGAAATGTGACGGCCCGAGTTCTTTCTGAACAGGTACGCCCACGCGCAGCTGGAGGCGCTGGAGCGGTACCTGGTTGGGCTCGGCGCTGCGGCCGGCCTTGGTGGCCTAGAAACGGAATGCGTATTCTTGTCTTCCAACCAACGCTCGAGATTACACGGTTCCGCTGTATTTGACCGTCTTCAGCTGTATTCACTCTGTGTTTGTGTCGCTCGTTCTCACACAGCGCTCTGAACACACCGCACAACACCGTTCCCGCCCCGAGGTTGGTGTATTCAGCACGTAGGCTTGGTTGGCGGCTGGTCGATCCGCGTGGACGTGCGGCAGACGGGCGGCTCTGCGGGCGAGACAGACCTCTACTTCTTCGACGAGCGAGGGAAGAAGTTCCGCTCGCGCCTCGAGGTGGCGGCGCCACCTTTACACGGCCGTGTGAGGCTGTGTGAACGGCGTCTCTTCACACCTCGAGAGCTGTGAGCAGGTGGCGCGTCACTTTGGCCTCGCCGCCGAGAAGCGCAAGCGGCGGGGCTCTGCCGAAGGCGAGTGGGCAGCAGGTGAAGCGACCTTCGCGCCGTCCGGACATGTCCACGACGTGTCCATGACATGTCCGAGACCACGTCCGCAGGCGAAGCGGCTCTTTGGCCGTCGGCGGTTGCGGCGCCGGCAGCGTCGTGTGTGGTCTCGGCGGCTGCGTATGGGGCGTATGCGGCGGCGTGGACGGTGGCGGCCGGCGGCGGCGGCGCCGGCGGCGGGCATAGTGGGGACGTTGGCTACCTGAATTCCTGGGGCCAGAACCGCCTCCCTTAAGTCGTCACGTGTACTTTGACTTTCTATTGCCCGAGTCCCCCGCTTATCTATGTCGCCTATTCCCCTCTCCCCG